ATCTAGCACAGAGGTCTTTCTGAGACTGATACTCCAACTCAGGACCATGCATGGAGATAACCTAGAACTCCTGTACAGAGGTAGCTCATGGCAGCTCAGTGTCCAAGTGGGTTTCCTAGTAACGGGAACAGGGACTATCTTTGACATGAACTCATTGGCTGGCTCTTTGATCACCTCCCCCTGAGGGGGGAACAGCCTTACCAAGCCATATAGGAAGACAATGCAGCCAGTCCTGATGAGACCTGATAGGCTAGGGTCAGAGGGAAGCTGAGGAGGACCTCCCTTATCAGTGGACTTAGAGAAGGGCATGGGAGGAGATGAGGGAGGAAGGGTGGGATTGGGTAAGGATGAGGTAGGGGTCTACAGCTGGGATACAAAGTGAATAAACTATAATTAATAAAAAAAGTAAAAAAGAAGTGAGGGAATAAGAGTAGATTAAAAATATTTTTACAAAAAAATATCTCTATGTTGAAGGAAAATGAGATTTCTCAAAACCAGATGAATTTGTATTAAAATAAATTTATAAAGCTTACCATAAAAAAAAAAACAGTGAAACAAGTTCACCACAATCTGCTTAGACAGAAATGGCTAAATTAATCAGTGTATGGCCACCAGGAGCTATAAATAGGGGCAAGTATGGAAAACATGCTGATGGTACATGATGCAAAATTAGTACCAGGACAAAACACAGTAGATAGCCTTTCAACAAACTTAAGAAACATTTTATATAGTTTGATTTTCCTGTGAGAATGAGGTAAGCTGTTCTTTTAAAGCTTTGCATTATAATGCAGCTGAAGAGGCCCTGTGCTCCACAGACCTTCTAAATACAAACCACTGCTTCCTGGCTTTTGTTTTTATTTCAAAATGAGCTGATGTCTTTTCATTCTCTTGTTTTTATTTTTTACAGTTAGACACTTTCACCCACTTACATAATGAGAATCCCATGGGTCTGTCGTCATCCACTTTGTATGAGTAGCTACTTGAGTTTTCAAAACAATTGAATTTAGGTACTTACTTCTAGGCTGTTTACATGTCTGTTGAGGAAGTGTTTCACCTTCCATAACCATTGCTCTGCAAGAGAACCTTTGTGACTGGCCATTTCTGTGTGCATATGTGGGATAAGGAATGGGGGTTCGGTCTAAATTTTCCCTCAGCAGACTGAAGAACAAGAACCTTTAAGCACAGGCTGGCACTAGGTTGTAGTTTTTCTGAAAGTCATTGAAGGCTGGTACAGTCGGAGGGCTTTCCATGGGGTTGTAGGATTACACAGAAGAATGGTCCAAACTTTTCCAGCCATAGAACTGTATTCCAAGATTCTGAAGATATATGCGTGGTGTGCTCATGTATGTGTGTGTGTTGTGGTATGTGTATGTGTAATGAACTTCAGTTCATGTGTCCTCATATTTTTTAAAAAATAAACATATAGGCTAGCTTATTTTTATTTAATGTTCACTGTTTATATTTCTTTTAGCCCCTTTAAAAACACTATTGGTAAACACTATTGGTAACACTGTTTACAAAGCTCCTCTCTTTGTTCTATTTTATCCCAGTCACTGAGTCTTTGTAGCCAAGCAGGAGCCTGACCTCTCCCAAGTACTTGGTAACATCAGGTAAAGGAGGGACAGCTCCTTGCCTAGGTCCAGAGTAGCAGAATCATTTCCACTGTTCTTGCATTCACCCCTTTTTCCCAGTGTCGTCTTAGGCTCCCTTTCTATTCTGCTCGGGAGACTCTGTACAAACAACCAATGCTTCCGGTTCTAGCCACAAAGATAGAGCCTGCACTGAACAAATAAATACTATGGTCAAAAGGAACTATAAAGTTGGACTAAATGCACTGATGCAGTAAGTAGGGAAAGATTCCAGGGGCTGTGACCTCTGGGAAAAGAGAAACTCACCAGCCTGAGCACCATGAGACAGGTGTTTTTCAGGGCAGGAGGAAGGGGGCTATCCACTGTTGCTTTGCAAGATACAGCAGCAACTAGAAAGGGGCAGTTACACCTGTACGGAGTCACGATGAAGGTCAGCTGAGCCATCTTGTGTGGAATTTGGGGAATACAGTCCCAGAGAGGGGAACTACATCATTTCTAGGCTTGGAGTATTACCCAGCACCTCCCTAGTGAGAGCAGGGCACAACACACCAAGAAGTTTAACATGGAAGAAGTTTTCTGGGAAGAGGCTGGATTGCAGAACATATATTTCATAGTCAGGTGGGCCTGAGAAACTGGAATCTGAGGCTAAGTTGGACTAAAGAGAAAAAGACTTTAAACACGTTGAAATGTTAGTGAAGTCCAGAGAAACCATTTCAAGAGTGAGGGAAACACTTCAAGACCAAGGACAAACTGAAGCAGACCAGTTTAACAAGTCCAAGATGACTATTGGCATGACAGAGGTGACCTGCTGATACTTCATCAGCAGAAGAAGCCTATCCTGCAGAGAAGAAAATGATGTGGATATACTTTCCTAAATGATACATACCTTAAAACAAAATTATGACACTAATTTTAAAAAGAATAAAATATAGGAAAAAGAAATGAAAATAAAAGAGGAGAGAAAGAGAAGGAAGAAGCAGTATTAAGTAGTTATATGAGATTATTCAAATACTGGAACTTAACTTTCAAAGATGTAAAACTTGGTATCATTATTAATTTGGTAAATAGGAAAGTGGATACTATTTTGTAAATGATCTAAAGATCCATACATAGGATAAAATTAGTTCCTAATGTCACAACATATATACAAATCAACTCAAATAAGAGATTCTACAGAATAACATAAGTGAAAGCTTCCTGACAGTGATCTGGTCAATGATTTTTCTTTTGGATGTGGCTCTAATGCACAGAAACACCAGTAAGTAAAGACTAATTAGATTATGTCAAATTGAAAAGTGCACAGCAAAGGAAGCAACTAATGGAGTAAGAAACAAAGTGCAGAATGATCACTGCCCAAACATCTGACAGAGGTTTATATTCAAAATATTAAGAGAATTCAGACAACTAATGGCAAGAAGATGAATTAAAAATGGGCAAAGGAGTAATATATTCTTTAAAAGAAGGTATGCAAAAAGAGTAAGATATCACTCGTAATCATGGAGACACAAAATAAAACTGCAATAAGGTATCATCTTCCAGAGGCTGGGATGGCTGCTGTTATGGACCTGACAGGTGAGTATTGGTGCAGATTAGGAGAAGTGTGAATCCTTACACACTGTATGTGGGAATGGACAACAGACACTAAAGTATAGCTACCACTGATCTGAAAATTCTACCACTGGTTAGGAATGCAAATGAGCTGAGATCAGGATGTGTTAGAGTTATGTGTATGTTCATGTTCATTGTCACATTCTTCCCAACAGTCAAGACATGGGATCTACTTAAATGTCTATCAGTGAATAAAGGACATAGAGTAGGCACTTTGGAATATATTGACTCTTGATGAAGAAAGAGGTCCTGTGATTCACAGCATTGATGAATTTGAGAGTATGTGTGAGTTACAATTAGTGAAATAAGCCTGACATGATCCTGTATGATTCCACCTTTCTGTGGAATCTGGAGAAAGTTGGAATCATAGAAGTTGAGGGTAGGACAGCAGTTACTTGGGCAGGTAGGAGGTAATTTTTGCCCTTGGTCAAAGGGCAAATTTCATCTCTAAATAGAGATCGTGGTGACCATGATTAAAAATTACATACTGTACACTTGATTATTCTTGAGAGTATTTTAAATGTTTTCATGAATGAACATGAATGTAAGAAACAGGTGTTAATTAGCTTCATTTATGTATTTAATGATATATGCACATTTCACATTATGTACTTAAAACTGTCATTTTTATACAATCATGGAGAACACAAAATGCACTTTGAATTTTATGATTCAGTCTATTGCATGAGATGCACAGGAGCTAATTTTAGCAAAAGCATAACCTTTCTTAGTCAACTCTATAATTTAAACCTGGGTTTTGTTCTCATATTCAGCCCTAGCCACCTACAAGACTGCGTGGCCATAGCCACCAGGAATCTGTTCTGCTGCAGAAGTGGATTGACACTTATCCTAAAGATGTTTAGCCAATAAAATGCTTTGTATAGGAAGAGAGGTTGTCATAATAGGTAGTTAATAAATATGAACCCACCCTTGTTGGTGTTTTTGTTATAGTAGAAACAAATGGAGTACCACATACTTATCTACCATCACCTATATACCAAACCTAGAGGAAAGGATATGCAATTGCTATTTTCTATCTACCTTTCAAAAGACAGAATGATAGTGTTTACCTAAAATTTCTGCATATTATGGATTAGTCAAAACTACAGTTTGTTAAATGTCTGATAATATCTAAGCCAAGACATTGACTGTCATACAATGAGCTGCATGATCTGGTTTGCCTTTCAACAATCATTCTTATTAAGTCATTACTGTTGACACTTCCAATGAAGTCATGTTCACGATCAGCTTAAATACAGACACAGCATAGTACACATATTTTGACACAAAAGCTGTTTGTATAAACTGAAACATGAAGCAAATACATAATTGCATAAAATATTCATTATGCTTTCAGTGTGACAATCTTTGGTTGGAATTCTTTTGTGAAATTTGGTCACTTTGAGAGAAACTGGGGTAATATTTTAACAAAAAAATTAGTTTCTAGCAAATTTCCTGTTTAGCAATTGAAGGGCTGAACAGTTACACACAGTGAACTCTGACCCGCATACTTTCTCTGCAAATCCTCAAATGCTGGAGGCATCATTTTATTCCAGATCAGTGACGTATATCACTGAAACAGCAATTAGACATGAGCACGTGAAAATAAGCAAGTGAGAAACTACGCACAAATAGTACTTTCCTGGCATGCTAGCAAGGAACTACAGATTTTAGCTATTCCATCACTTAACTAGGGGCTGTATATCTTACCTGCAGAGCCTTTTAAAAGCGAGGCTATGACATTTGCCTCTGCCATTTGATTTGATTCCCAGTCCCTCCGTGCTAATTAGAAAGGGGACTTACATCGCTCTCATGACCTTCTCGAAGGTTATATGTGAGGTCGTGCTGGATGTCTTCTACGAATTTGTGTGCATACTCAGGGTAAAGGCCCAGCACCTCAAAGAGACCTTTAAGGATGATGCACTGCAGATCACAGTAGGTCAGTGCCTTCACGTCAGCATTGGTTTTGATCACTTGGTCTTTAATTGATAGATTCGCTCCAATTAAATCCCCCTTCCCTGGGAACAGTAAAAAGAAAAAGAACCATATCATTTTGAAGAAAAGCAGAACAGTCTGGAGCCCAGTCACATTGTTTGCCTTACAGAGTCTCTCAAATTATACAAGAAAGAGATTATCATGAGCCATAGCTACTTAATTTTGGCAGTACTGACAGTGGGGGCTCAATTGCTCTTTTGTTGTGTCATTTTAAATGTCAATACCTTCACATATTGTTAAATGTCCTGTGGTGGGTAAAAAAAAAAAAAAATGTCACTGTTAGTGAGCACTGGCCTAGAAGATATGGCTGGATGACTTAGGCATCACAGATCATCCATGGGCTCAAGAAACTCTCTGGCAAAATTTGGCAAACGACTTTGGACCAGTCAGTTTTTCACAGTCATTTTAACCATTCAAAGGGGTAGTAAAAACCAGTGACTTTTCTGAGTGCGAAAATGGCTCTGAGCTTCTCTGGTCAGTACATCAGGAAGCATACTGACTGGAGTGCTGGACTTCTGGCAAGAGCAGAAGTGTGATAGTCAACAGACCGGGGTTCTTTCATTTGCAAACACTCTATCCCTCTTCTGAGTCCAGAGGAAGGAGTAAGGGCTGACCCCTGTGGACCATGGTTTGCATATACCAGTGTGTAACACAGGAGCACAGCTCTCAGTTGCTGTGTTCTATGACAGTGTAAGAATGTTGTCCGCCCAGACACGAAGTGAATCGACAAAAACTAGTGTCTTAAAAGACAATTCATGGTCCCCATGTGTCCCAATCCCCCTTGATGTGTGGCAGCAGCCTTGCTGTCTGTAGTGCTATTGTCTTCAGCACTGCTGTCTACGGTATACCGCTGTCTATAGTAATCAGGGTGCCTTCTGGGCGCTAACTTGCTTGATAACATTTGTTGATGAACTAATATTGGACAATTTTATTGTTTAAATCCTTTAAGTGATTTCAAGAGTTGATAGTATAAAAAAAAGAAATAACTTCAAGTATCAAAAAAATCACTGACTTTAACTTCTGATGTACTTTAGACACAGCCACAAAGTAACTCAGAAGCCAACAAAAGATGTGAAGAGACCCTTAATTCTTAGACAAACAGGCTGGAGGTTACAGGAGCAGGAGTGTGTTCACAGAAAGCACTAGGCACTGGTGTTAACTCAGGTTTCTAGTGAGAGGCTTCTGAGTCTGTCCACAGAGAACATCATTCCCAGGCACTAACTATGATTACCTGAATTGCCTTTTTGCTATGTTGTAAGCAACGGAGACAAATTGCTGTACAGTCCTCAGTTCCAAGGAAGACATGCCACTGAAATCTTATCAAGTGAGCTGGGGAGATGGCTCAGCAGTTAAGAGCACTGGCTGCTCTTCCAGAGGTCCTGGGTTCTATTTCTATGTGGTGGTTCACAACTATCTATAGAATCCAATTCCCTTTCCTGACATACAGACATGCATGTACACAGAGCACTCAAATACTTAAACATTTTTTTTCGAGACAGGGTTTCTTTGTGTAGCCTTGGTGTCCTGGACTCATTTTGTAGACTAGGTTGACCTCAAGCTCACAGAGATCAGCCTGACTCTGCCTCCCCAAGTGCTGGGATTGAAGGCATATGCCACCATGCCCACTTAATAAAGAAATTTTTGAAAGAAATGTTATCAAAAAAACTGACCTACCTCCACATTCAGTTATGTTTTGAATTTCTAAGTTTTCATACTTTATTGTGCTCAATATTTTTGCAACAAAATTTCTGGCACGAAACTCATAAAAGTCTATTCTATTTAATTTGTCAGTAAAAATATATGATATTAATCACATATGCTTGAGATATTAAAATGTGTATAAAATAAAAATTGAAAGTAAATAATTGAATTATATGAAATATTAACATCAATTAATATTTTATTAACTATGAAATTGAGTCTACTTAGTCAGAAGGAAAAGAAAATTCTGTAGAGTATAATTTTAGCCTTTGAAGATGACAAACAGCCACATTGTCTATCAGAATTAAGCCTGACTTATTGGTATCACTAATATTGCTCAATTTAACATTATATTTTCTGTATATTTTGTGAAAAATCTACACTGTTACATAATAAATGTAAAACTGAGAATGGACATAAGATATAATCCCGGCCAGGAAGTCATCTGTACAGCGATTCTTTACATTTGTTTATTTGAGAATGATTATCAGGATAGTGTCATATAGGAGATTAAATTAGGCCAGGGACATTTCAAGGAGCACTAAGGCCACTAGACTTTCATATTTATGGTTTCTGTCACATGACTAAAGAATACCACCAATATATAGCTAAATTTGGCACCTTGAAAATAATTCTTGTTTTATTTTTGGATTTAGGGTATGTTCATGGAGCACTGGTAATAATCTTGAGCCTCACATTGAGCTCTGGTTAGGTCTCAGTAACTGCTCTGTGGACTCCTCCTTTCTTTTGTTGAGATTCATGAACTAATGTCTTAACTACTCCAGGTCTCAGTATCCTTATTTCTGAAAGAAAAGAATTATTTTTGTGCCCCTTAAAGATCGTGGGTAGTCTCTATGTTTTCAGAGCTGGTCTGTCTTTGGGCATCAACAATAATAAAATGGGAAGTTGAATTAATTACACAGAGAAAGATAAATATCACTGCTTATTATGCATTGCTATATCTTGTCAAACACCAATGGAAAGAATAGTGAGAACACAGTAACTGGAATAAAGTTCTAAAAGGTGAAAAGAGTCTATCTTCATAACAATTTCCCATGACAGCTCTCTCCAGGAATGCTTTCTGTGTTGATTGGAAGATGGTGTTGCTTGCTTCTTCCTCACCAGACCACTAATTTATTTCAATGGCAGAATGAAATGCTGTTAAGTAACTAGACGCAAAATTAAAACTGTATGGTTAGTAAATCAGCACGGGCTAAATCAGCCACATAAAATAATTTATGATGAAGAAAGTTACATCTTTCCATTGACGTGGCAATCTTGGACTTTCACTTGTGCGGGGCACCAGTATCACATCACAGGTTAGAATGGTAATTCAACAAGCTGATCTTACACCACTTAGTATAGATATGTACATATTTATTCATAGTGGGATTAGAGAAGAAAAATATCATCATAAAAAAATCACAATTTATGGAGAAATTTGGGGCATGGTGCAAAGCAGCAGTGGAGTAAATCTTTCAACAATAAGTAATTACTTAATTATAAAAATTATTAATGCTAAAATATGTTTTATAAGCTACAGCAGTCACATAAAAGCCATTAAATTTGCACCTTTTTCACTCTAATGTAATAGATGATGCCTTAGTCTTCCATTCCTAAAAGTGCTGTTTATCAACAAATTTAAAAGTGGAGAAGAATTAACGAGAAAAGCTTGACTATTTTTAAGTAGTGTATTGTATCTGCTTGAATGTATGTCATACCATAAGGTTTTGAAAAACTGGCCAGATGCTCTTTCAAAATGAGGATGTGTCAATAAGCAAATCAACAAGCTATAAAAGTTTTATTGGTACTAGGGAAACTCACCGGAAAATATGATGTAAACAATGTTTTGGAAGCAAATTAGAATTAATGTCAATTCTAAGTCAGAATTACAAAATGGTAGAATGACTGTTCTTTAACTTTGCAAATTGAGAAGAAGAAGGGACCATGTTAGCGTTTCTGTACTTATGTCAAGGAGAACATCACAGGTAGTTAATAAAAACTGAGCCAAATCTTGAAAGGCAATGTCCCCTTTCCTCTTTTACTGAAAGTGAAGTCCACATGAAGCAGCGAAAGCTACAGGCTTTGCCAGCCCTCTGCCTCCAGCTCTTCTCCTTCAGTTAAGGCAGTCATGCTATCATAGTCTGTTATCTATGCTGTAACACAATGCAGCTAAGGTACCATCACAACAGAAATTCATTTCTGATGATTCTGCAGCTGAAAAATCAAGACCAGGGCTTTGGCAGGTTCAGCATCTAATAAGAACTAACTTTCTATTTTCTACCTGTTGACTTATCCTTGTGATATCAGGGTAGAAAAAGCCAGGTGACTCTTTGAGCTTCTTTATAATCCCATTTTGGAAGGTAGTAATCACATCCTAGGTTCCCACCTCTTAATTTCATCATGTCAAGGACTGGACTTCAGGACATGAATTTATAAAACACAATCAGGTTTGACAAGATTTCAAGACTTCATAGTGGACCTAAGATGCAAGCAATTATCACTTCTCTCTTCCAAAATATAAGCTATATTGAAGCTTACCACCTTAGCAGCAGGCTGACAGTATTGACATACGATGATATATATTCTTTAGACAAGGGAGGCTCAGTTTCCTTTTGTTCAGAATTTGGAATATTTTTTGGGGGGGAAATAGAAAATGCTTTTACATCTGTGTCTACATTCTGTGAAAGTTTAAATGTTCCATGTGTCAAAATACTTTGCAAGGGGTTGTCACAAATCAGGTCCTTAGAAAATTACAACAAAAAGTACTGCATTAACCATTTACTGACAGGTACTGGCGTGATGCTAGACACTGGGGTAAAACATTGCTTCTTGACAGGTACCTCGGATTTATCTGATGTTCACTGCCATGGAAGCTTCTCTATCTTGCCCTTCTCTTGAGTTTAATCCCCATAAGGGTAAAACTTCTGGCAATTTCTGTTCTGCCACATTTTTAGTGCTTAGACCATTGTCCAATAAGGATTGGTTGAATAAACAATTGAAAGCAAATTTGAAAAGAAACTCACATAAAATGGGAAAAGGAATTTTTCTCTATAAACCCATATACCATCTTCTGCCAGCGGCCCTTTTTATTTCAATAAAAAAGAAAAACTTATGTCTAGTATTTGAAGTCAACATCATGGCACCGTGTTTCCACAGTTATCAGTTTTCTTTGAGGAAGTAAAAGGAGGCTGTGTCACCCTAGCAGTGATAGGTTAATGGTTGTGATGAAGTTTGTTATTGAAATTAAATTACTTTCCCTTTCTTTCTGGCACAGATAAAACTTAATACTAATGTTATTTGGACTGGCTCTCCACAAAATACAGAAATTCTTCATGAAAACAGAGCTGCTTATTAATACCTCCTTTCCTACTTTGTATTCCTCATACTCCACCATAAAATATCAGAGAAACTTTTCAGCCAAAACCTACCTAGAATAGCCAACACCATGCTGTCTTTAAGAACCTCCATAGAACCTGAGCACACAAAGTAGATGGCCTGCAAAGCATCTCCCTGGCGCAGCAGATACTCTCCTGGAGCACAGAATGAAGTTTTGATGTGGAGAGACAGAGACCTGAGGCAGCCCCTGCTGGCACATTCAAATAGGGACAACTGTAAGATCTCCTTGTTCAGATGCATTGTGATGTCAGAGCGCAGCTCATCTGGAAAGTCTTTCAAAAGCTAGGGAAGAGGAGAGAGAGAAAATTATGGTGATTGGCTCCATATCAGTGGCACTCTTCCTACTTGGGTCAACTGCATTGTATAAGAGGAGGTTGAAATATTCTCTGAGATTTCTTCTGTACAAATTCCAGGGCTATATGTTGATTCTGACCTTCATTATATACCACAGAAGACTCACTGATAATAAACCTGAAGAAATTTTATGAATCTCTGAAATATCCTAGTAAAAAAGCTTTAAATACTTCTATCAAGTCTTCTATTGGGATAGATATAGGAACTTGGACTCTCTGGCCTTTATTAACATGTCATGATCATATGCAGAGATCAAATTATCACTTAAAACACTGATTATTAAGTTTCAAAATGAGAGCATATGAAGTATTTGTCTTTCAGAGTCTGTCTTATTTCACTTAATATATTGATCTCTAGTTCTACTCATTCATGCCCTGAAAATGTTATAATTTCATTTTCTTCATGGTGAATAAAATTTCATTGAGGTGTTTGGAGAGCACAGTGCAAGAGGAGGACACAAAAATACAGAATGTATAAAAATGCATTATTTTGTAAGTTAATTCAAAGAATAGTTGGTTACTTGGTTACTGGATTGGTTGATGTGTTGGTGGACTAGTTGGTTGATCTACACAGTGTCTTGCCCAGTGGTTGTTTGGGGCTGTTTTTTGAGTTCTACAAATATCATTTTGCCCATATTTTGTTATTTTTAACTTTATGGATCAGCATAGCAAGTTTACATTGAGTATTCACCTAACATTATGACATTAAACTGTCATAAGAATGAATCATTTAAAAAACACAATGAGAATGAAAATAGTTGCAAATTCTTATAAAACCCTGTCATCACAGAGTGGCATTGTGAAAACATCAATCACGATGTATAAAGGAAGGTGAGTTGTAGGTCCATGAGGGATGAAAGACAAAGAGATAAAGAGGCCAATAAATCTGTCTGTCTGTTTGTCTCTCTCATGCCTGCATTAGAACACCTTGCCTTTACCTGACAGGTATACTTTCTGTCTGAAAATGACAGCAAAAGAAATGCACATTACCTCATTTGAATCTATCCCATTGTTGACCGACCAGGTTGTCTGAAAGTACTCAAGCATTCTCTGCTTGAGCTGCTGGGGTAGGTGATGCACACGGATAAAGTCCTTTAGGTCCTTGGTTCTAGTGTGATACAGACTCCATCTAGAGTACATCCTCTGTATGATGGCAGTCACATTCCCAAACACCAAGGCATGCATCAGGGCTAGAAAGCACAACAGAACACAAGATAGTAAGACAGAGGCCAGGTTAACATACAAGTCTATTTCGTGGATGGGTTAAAGTAAAGCACGCCTTCGTGGTCATACTGATATGATTCCACCACTAGGAGCACATGGGCATAACCACTCTGTCATAGGCACATCCCAAAACTGTCATTTTGCCTTCCCATGGCCTGATCCAAATAAAAATAACTTTAAAAGTAATAATATTTGAAGTAGACCTTTTGACATTCATGGAGTCTGTTAGCTGCCATTCTGGATCTAAACTTTGAACTCTGTCAACATAAGTATTATTTTAGTAGTTACACATAGTTTAGTAGTTATGATGCAGTTCTCAGGAGTTAAGGTATAAATTTACACTTAGCAATTAGTATATTGCATTAACATTGATTTTTAAAAAGCCTATTATAATAACTGGGTAGTCACTGTTGGAATTTTTGTTTTATAGACCAAAAATCATCACATTAAGGGCTCAAGATATAGCTCAGTGGCATAGTACTTGCTGAAGTCATTTACGGCCTTGGGTTTGATTCTATGAACCAAAAAAGCAAGTAAATAAAAGTAGTTACAAAATATTAAAAATTATCCATTCACATTACTATTAAGACAGTTACTATAAATGTGACGATTGACTGAGGAGTGGGAAGCTGAGGCAATTAGGAGTCCAATTTTGATCCTCACCTCACCTGCAACCACTTTAATTTTAATGGAGATAGCTCAAAAATTGCGACCATGAAAGACACAAAAGAATATGTTGAGTGGAGGGTGACAAGATGGTGGCGCCAGGAGGACACTGCTTCTGAGAAGCAGAACAATATCTTTCGTACAGCAACCAAGAGACTGAAATCTGGGCCCTAAAACAACAGCAATCTTGTTTCCCAGGTGAGAGAAAACTCCACAGTGTGGGAATCAATTGGGTCCACCTTCAGGTCACCCAGCCAGAACCCAGAAGAAATCCCAGGTCATGCAGGCACTTGGTCGCCAGACCAGAGCCAAATGCCTGCCTGTCCTGATCACCTTCCCAGGCTGAACAGCGGACACAAAAACACCAGAGACTGGGAATCCCAGTCGCGAGAAAAACCCACAGGGAAGGAAGGAAACGGGACTGACCTCGGGTCACCCAGTCTATCCCTGGAAAAAGTCTGGCAGAATGGCGGGCACAAACTGCCATCACTGAACTGGGCTCCAACTTTGAGCACAGAGACTTGCTACATGCCCAGCTCTCCGTCGTCACAGACAGAGCTGTGCGCCCCAGGGCATCAGAGACTGGGAGTCCCTGCCGGGAGAAAACCCCACAAGGAAGGAAGCAAACAGGGACTGACTTACGTCACCCAGTATATCCCTGGAAAAGGTCCTGCAGACCAGCGGGTGCATGCGCTGCCAGCCCAGAAACCTGCTGTGCACCAACTATTCCTCACAGACAGAACTGTGCGCCCCAGGGCACCAGGGAGTCTCAGTCGGGAGAAAACCCCACAGGGAGGGAGACAGCTTAGAGCACTCAGCCGAGCCCCCTCCCCCCAACACACACGGGAAAATTTCCAGGAAAAGGTCTCAGACTCCTGCCCAGTCTCCAGCTGGGAGCCACCACCCACCAGCCTCTGTGCACTCTACGCCAACCCAAACACCACAGACTGGGCCTTCCTGTTGGGAGAAACCCCATGGTAGGGGAAACACCTGGCCCTACCTCAGGACACCTAGCTCTGGAAAAGTTTCTGGCTATCCACAGGCTCCTGACTGTAGCCTCCAGCTGCACGCATGAGAGCAGAGCACACCTGCCATTGACTACCACTACTGCTTGGGTACTGGAGCACAGAGCTCCAACCTCAGACCTACAGAAGCCTAGGATCCCCAAGATCAATTCCCAGAACTGCTCCAAGGGGAAGCCAGTTATGTGTAATTAAACTGACCAAACCCTGGGGCACCCAGATTATAGCAGCAGCTCACTAAATTTACAGCAAGAAACCCAGAAGCAGGGCAGCTATCTCCAGGAATTCTCTGGCTGAGAGGAGAACCCTCTTGACTAACAAGGATCACAGTTACCACTCAGGTCTGTACGCCTGAGGCGAGCTATGGCAATTCCTGAAAAACACCGGCCATTCAGTGACCATACCCGAAAAGCTGAGGAGGCTTCCTTCAGGAAAAACCACCTTCCTGCCAAGGGGATTCTCTCCACCACAGGATTCCAGGAACCACCAGAAAGTAACCCCCAACACCTAAGATAGTCCAATGGGTAGAGGCCAGTGTAAAACGTCAACCAACAAAAGACAGAGCAATATGGCATCTCCAGAACCCAGCTATCCAGGAGTAAGCAGCTGTGGACACCCCAGCATAATTGAAATTCAAGAAGATGACCTAACATCTATGTTTATGAAGAGGATAATAAAGGAAACAAAAAAAATGCATAAAGAACTAGAGGAAGATAAAGACAAACAGATTATGGCCATCCATAAAGAAATACAGGAAGTTGCAGCCAAACAGTTTGTGGCCTTTAGAGAGGAAATACTTAAATAACTAAATGAAATAAAAGAAACAGAGGATTGTTCAAATAGACAGCTGAAGAAATTGAAGGAAAAACAGGAAAATAGTCAGACAGGTGAAGGAAATCAACAAAACAGCTCAAGATCTGAAGATAGAATTGGAAAATTAAAGAAAACACAAATGGAGGAAATTGTGGAGAGAAAGAACTTAGGGAAGAAAGCAGGAACTACAGAAGTAAGCATAACCAATAGACTGCAAGAGATGGAAGAAAGAATCTCAGGTGTGGAAGATACAATGGAAGAATTTGATCTATCTATCAAAGAAAATGTTAAATCCAAAAAACTCCTGATACAGACCATGCAAGAAATCCAAGACAATATGAAAAGACAAAACCTAAGAATAACAGGTATAGAGGAAAAAGAAGATTCCCTCCTCCAGGACCCAGAAAATATTTTCAACAAAATCATTGAAGAAAATTTCCCCAACTTAAAGGAGAGGCCTATAAGAATACAAGAGTCCTACAGAACACCCAATAAATTAGACCAGAAAAGAAAATCCTCCTGCCACATAATAATCAAAACAGTAAGTATACAAAACAAAGAAAAAAATATTAAAAGCTGCAAGGGAAAAAGGCCAAGTAACATATAATGGCAAACCAATCAGAATCACACCTGACTTCTCATAACAGACTATGAAAGCCAAAAGGTCCTGGACGGATATCATGCAGACCTAAGAGAACACGGATGTCAACACAGGCTACTCTACCCAGCAAAATTCTCAGTCTTCATAGACAGAGAAAACAAGGATTTTCAATGACAAAAACAACAAGGATACCTACACACAAATCCAGTGTTACAGAAGATACTAGAACGAAAAGTACAACCCAAGAAACCTAACTGCTTTCAAGAAAACACAGGAAATAATTAACCTCACTACAGTAAAACAAAAAGTTAGAAGGGACACAAACTTACTACCACAGCCAACATCAAAATCAAAGGATCTAACAGCCACAGGTCATTAATCTCTCACAACATCAATGGACTCAATTCTCCAATAAAAAGACACAGACTAACAGAATGGATGCATACACAAGACCCAGTAATCTGTTGCATACTAGAAACACACCTAAGTCACAAAGATAGACATTACCTGAGGGTGAAGGGCTGGAAGATGGTTTTCCAAGCAAATGGACCCAAGAAGCAAGCAGGAGTAGCCATTCTAATATCTGATAAAATAGATTTTCAACCAAAATTAATCAAAAGAGATGGGGAAGGTCATTTCATGCTCATCAACTGAAAATTCCATCAAGAAGACAACACAATCCTGAACATCTATGCCCCAAATACAAGGGCACCCACATATGTAAAAGAAACATTGATAAAATTTAAACCACACATAGATTGCCACACATTAATAGTGGGAGACTTCAACACCACACTCTCAACAAAGTACAGGCCAACAAAACAGAAATTAAACAAAGAAACAATGCCTCTAACAGAGGTATGAATTAAATGGACCTAACAGACATTTACAGAACCTTACACCCAAACACAAAAGAATTTACTTTCTTCTCAGCACCTCATGGAACCTTCTCCAAAATATGCCATATGGTTGGTTACAAAGCGAGACTCAACAGATACAAGATTGAAATAATCTTTTTTACCCTATCTGATCACCATGGAATAAAGCTGGACTTCAACAACAACAGAAATAGCAAAAGCCTACACACACATGGAAACTGAACAACTTACTACTAAATGACAGCTGAGTCAGGGAAGAAATAAAGAAAGAAATTAAACTCTTCCTAGAACTCAGTGAAAATGAAGACACAACATACCCAATCTTTTTTTTTCTATATTCATGATTTATTTTTGTATTGTGAGTAAGGCACACTTGGCCTCTCACCTTGAATCCTTGTGTCTTCTAATAGAATATATGGAAATATGACAGGATGATTTGTTAGCCACAACTTACCCAGTCTTATGGGACACAATGAAAGCAATACTAAGAGGAAATTTCATAGCACCAGGTGCCTTCAAGAAGAAATTCAAGACATCTCATGCAAGCAACTTAATGGCTCAACTAAAAGCCATAGCAAAAAAATAAATAAATAAATAAAGAAGCAGACACACCAAAAGGAGTAGATGGCTGGAAATAACCAAACTCAGGGCTAAAATCAATAACTTAGAAACAAGTAAAACAATTCAAAGAATCAATGAAACCAAGAACATCAACAACATAGACAAACACTTAGCTAAACTAACTAAAAGGCAGAGAGACACCATCCAAGTCTACAAAATCAGAAATGAAAAGGGGACATAACTACAGACACTGAGGAAATCCAAAAGTCTATATGCCACAAAATTTGAAAATCTAAATGAAATGGACAATTTTCTTGATCGATTTGACTTACCAAAGCTGAATCTGGACCAGGTAAATCAATTAAATAGTCCTATATCCTTCTATATTCCTTCTAAGGAAATAGAAGCGGTCATCAAAAGTCTCC